AAACAAAAGAGAAAAAAAAGAAAAAATTTAAGAAAGCGACCACAGCCGGAGATCGAACCCTTCCCCTCTCTCTCCAGGCGTAATTCACAAGCACATGGTCTTAGTTGTTGGACCACGCTTATACGGTGATCGTGCTACTACATAGCTTCAAGTACCCTCTATCGGCTAGCTGAACGAAAAATTTAAGGAGCCATAGTGACCCCCCTAATCGATCTATAAAAATATACTTAGGAGGGGAGTTTTGGCTTGCAAAGGCCCACCTTCGGTTCGAGTTTTAAAATTATAACTTAATATTAAAGGGAGTTAAGCGGTCTTGAAATTTGAAACTTTTTCTCGCCATTTTATTTTATTTTATTTTTTATTCCATAATGCGTTCTTGCACTAGGAAAGACAATTGATTTTATACAAAGAACACACTTCGCATGCTAAACAAGCGTGAAAATATTGTAAAACGAGTTTTAAAAAATAATATGATATAAATAAACAAACTTTCCGGGATTATTCCAGTTTTTAAGCGTTGTTTGAAGATTCCCGAATGAAAGAAAATTATTTTTTTTATATAGGATCCTTTAATTTATAGAAAAACACATTAAATAAATAATGTAGTGTAAAATAATCAAAAGAGAAAAAAAAGAAAAAATTTAAGAAATCGACATAGCCGGGGTTCGAACCCTTCCCCTCTCGCTCCAGGCGTAAATCACAAGCGCATGGTCTTAGCCGTTGGACCAAGCTTATACGGCGATCGTGCTACTACATAGCTTCAAGTACCCTCTCCCGGCTAGCTAAACAAAAGATTTAAGGAGCCATAGCGACCCCTCCTATCGATCTATAAAAATATACTTTGGAGGGGTGTTTCGGCTTGTAGAGGCCCACCTTCGGTTCGAGTTTTAAAATTATAACTTAATATTAAAGGGAGTTAAGCGGTCTTGAAATTTGAAACTTTTTCCCATTATTTTAATTTATTTTATTTTTTATTCCATTATGCGTTCTTGCCCTAAGAAAGACAATTGATTTTATACAAAGAAGACAATTCGTATGCTAAACTAGCGAGAAATTATTGTAAAACGAGTTTAGAAAAATAATATGATATAAGTAAATTAATTTTCCGGGATTTTTCCTGTTTTTAAGCGTTATTTGAAGATTCCCGAATAAAAGAAAATTATTTTTTTTATCTATGGGATCCTTTAATTTATCAAAAAACACGTTAAATAAATAATATAATGTAAAATAATCAAAAGAGAAAAAAAGAGAAAAAATTTAAGAAAACGACCACAGCCTGGATTCGAACCCTTCCCCTCTCGCTCCAGGCGTAATTCACAAGCACACGGTCTTAGCCGTTGGACCACGCTTATACGGCGATCGTGCTACTACATAGCTTCAAGTACCCTCTCCCGGCTAGCTGAACGAAAAATTTAAGGAGCCATAGCGACCCCCCTAATCGATCTATAAAAATATACTTTGGAGGGTTGCTTCGGCTTGTAGAGGCCCACTTTCGGTTCGAGTTTAAAAATTATGACTCAATATTAAAGGGAGTTAAGCGGTCTTGAAATTTGAAACTTTTCCCCGCCATTTTATTTATTTTATTTTTTATTCCATTATGCGTTCTTGCACTAAGATAGACAATTGATTTTATACATAGAACACATTTCGTATGCTAAACTATGGTGAAACTATTGTAAAACGAGTTTAAAAAAATAATATGATATAAATAAATTTATTTTCCGGGATTTTGACCAGTTTTTAAGCGTTTTTTGAAGATTCCCGAATAAAAGAAAATTATTTTTTTTTATATAGGATCCTTTAATTTATCGAAAAACACATTAAATAAATAATATTATGTAAAATAAACAAAAGAGAAAAAAAAAAGAAAAAAATTTTAAAAATCGACCACTGCCGGGGTTAGAACCCTTACCCTCTCGCTCCAGGCGTATTTACCAAGCACATGGTCTTAGACGTTGAACCACGCTTATACAGCGATCGTGCTACTACATAGCTTCAAGTACCCTCTCCCGGCTGGCTAAACAAAAGATTTAAGGAGACATNCCCGCGGCCTCATGTAAGTTGGAAACCCCTTCTCTAGATCACCCTTACCCAGAACCTTAGGGTTCTCTGTAACAATAATTCAGCTTATTTTATCCATTCATGTATATGCACCAAAAATAATTTCATAACATTAAGAGCAAGGACTGCAAATTTGAAAGCTATATTTCTGCTCAAATCAAAGTTACAATTCTGCTCAAATTGTATTTGTTACGTGCTATATTTTTGTGCATAGTTTATATGTACCATCATAAAATATTCAGTATTTTTAGGGTATTTATAAATATTAATTAAAATATAGTCACTAGATGGTAACTCATGCTACATCACAGATAAAGAACTTTTAAAAATAACTAAAAAAGCAAAGTTAAATATTATTTTGACATTTATTTAACATTTATAACAGATTCCTTTCTTGCTATTCAACAGATATGCAATCAAGCACATCCATTTCTTTATCTGTTTCATTGTTGGGTTTGGTAAAAGCTTTAAAACATTGTCAAATGTTATTATATATAATTTTCATCTGCTCCCACTTTGCTTTGCAGAAAACGCACCCCAAGTATTTAACTAATTGAAAGGCTCCAAGTTTTATATCTTCTGGAGAAATTTGTAATGTTTTTACTTCTTACTCTATTGAATATGTTTTCTTCATCAAAAAAAAAGTTTAGAGTACTTCTTAACTTATCGACAATTTTTCTAAATTTAGAAGAATGAATAATATCCACTACATTTGAAGACCATATTTAATTTACAACCTTTTTCAGCAGTTTTCTTATAGTAGTCTTACATACATGTATTGTTATACAGTTAAACCTACATACTCCTTTAGCCCTCTTCAACTGAAAATTATCTTCAAAGAATGCGAGCTTCATTTTGACAATCTACAATGGTTGGAATACGGAAGGTGTTTACGAGTGAGGAAGTTCTACAATTGGGGGATGGGTAGTTGTCACCTATGGTTATTGATTAGTGGTTACAGTGCTTGGAATCTTAAATCTTGGAATAAAATTCTTAACAGAAAAACAAACGAAACTGAAGTTTCTGGACCAGTAGATCTACCGAATTAAAAGATACCAGGTTATACATCAGAAGAAATAGAAGACTGGTGTTGAGACACTGAAAACGACCCAGGATTTCAAATTTTAAATGATGATGAAATAGTTACTGAAATTTTGAATGAAAATCAGAACTCCACAGACGAAGTAGGTGATTAAGTTCAAGGTAGTGGACCTTCTCATATAAAAGCATGCAATTAATTAGATATTGCAATGAATTGGCTAGAACGTCAAAATGATGTTGATCCAGTTCAATTGATTTATTTAAAAAGAATAAGGGCTATGACTGCTCAAAAAAGAGCATCTACTTTGAAACAAAAGTTTTCGCTCAACTTCTTTTTCTCATTAGGTTGCTCAAATGTTTATCAGTCATTTGTATGCGATATTTTGTCTAAATTCGGTTTTGAGTGCTAAATGACCTTGCCACATATGCTGAACAATGCGGAATCACTTAGTAAATTTGTAGCATCGAAAAAAATTTAAACGTCTTACATGAAGAAATCTTACCTTCCGTGAACACGTNTCTCTGTAACAATAATTCAGCTTATTTTATCCATTCATGTATATGCACCAAAAATAATTTCATAACATTAAGAGCATTGTGTTCTGCTGTTCGCACTTGGTTCTGAACAATACTGGTGAATAGGGAAGCTAGATAACAGGGATCCGTGTTGAAAATAATGAAAGATCAAGGAAGAAAAGTGAAGCGGATTTTATTCAAAATGGCAGAAGACGAATTTTTTTCCAAAATTCGCTCATTTTGAAATTGATTAAGTGCTTTATCTTCTCGCGTTAATAATTTTTTAATGCGAGAAAAGAAAAAAATAAGCGAGATTCTCGCTCTGTAGTGAAAACACTGATCCACCTATTTCATATGATGAGGCAAAGTAATTTCAAACAATTTTTATTTTATGCTTATCTTGAAGTATTGCAACTGCAATATATCTGTTATTGAAGGGCCACACAATTAATACTGTCTGGAAAATCTTCAAGAATTCTGTCCAAATATAGAATTATATTCCTTTTTGAAGGATCTTGTAGTGTATCTGCCACTACAAAAATATAATTCCAATTCACTAGTATATAAGACACGTTAACTTGATTCTACGGTGGAATACCTTTTCATAGACAAAGATCGACATTGTCAATTACATATACCCCACAATGCAATTCAATTATCACAGGGACCAAGCATATATTGGGAAGAGACTAACTTGTGGTTGAACCTCTTGTGCAACCCAAGTGTTCTGCAGCAGAGCAATAGTGAAGTCAGAGCTTTTGGGGCATCAGGATGAGAAATAAGGAAAATTTGTTTTTATTGTTATGACATTCTTGTAGATGCCTTCTCTTTCAAAAAAAATTTTGAACTTGTTTCATTATGTATTGTATTCTTTATTGAGTGGAAATGCAGTTATCACTATGTTTTTAGTAAGGCTTCTCAAAGCTGCTTGTTTTTTAAGTTCGGTACGAGCAATTGCTTTTTCCAATGAGTCTGGCCAATTAAATGGAGTTGTTAACTTCAACACTCTCTCTCTCTCTCTGAACCTCTTTCTTTGTTGCTCTTTCTTTGCACTTCTCTGTGTTTCTTCATACTCTCCTCCATCTCTAAGTTTTTGCTTTCTAATTTTTTCTTCTTTTTCAGCAGCTGTTAAAGCTATCCTGAAAGACTGAACAATACTACTTAGCACTTATAACTAAATGGTAACTGATGCTACATGTTAATTCGTGCTACAATAATTTTACGCAAAGTACAAGAAAAATTATTGAGTTACTATTTTTAAAATTTCATTTTGATTAAAATATGTCTAAAAATTAGGGAAAATGTTCCTTTTTAGAGGAATTGACTTAAACTTTTTTATTTTCTAAAAATTTTAAAGTAATTGATTAACAAGGAACTATGTTTTGGTTACTCATGCTACATGTTCTAAATGTTGAGTCATTACACATTGTGTATAATAAATATATGTGTATATCAAATTTGAATTTGTTTAAAGTTCATACAAATCAAACAGTCATAGAAACTGTTATTGCAATTTTTGATTAAAAGATCGAGTTTTACAGAGATCATATTGTGCTTTGGAAAAAAATCCGGATTTTGTGCTGTCTGCGATCCGTAAGTTTTCGGAAACCCGGGGTCCAGAAGTTTCGAGAAATCATCAATCACATTTATGTTTAAAAATTCTTGTATATTTTATTTAGAAATATTAGAACTAGAATTTATACTTGGCATCTCTTTCATTTGTAAATATTTTTTCTGGTAGGCTAATAAATATGATTAATCATAAAAGTAAACTTATACATGATTATCCATTTAAATGATGCTGCATATAATTTAGTTAGAATTTTATGTTTTGAAAATATCAAAAATTTGAATTTATAAAGACATTAATTTTTTGAAATGCGTCATTAATGATTACACTCAAGAAATTTTCAGGATTTTTGAGTTGGTCTCACAATCCTCCCTGGTTTTACTACTGGCTAAAAATAAAATTTAAAAAAGTGTAATTTCATGAATGATAAAATAAACACGAAAGTTGTTTTTCATTTTATTCAAATTATTTTGCTGATCAATTTGATTATTTTGTGTTTTATATGAAATATTTTTCCTTTCCAGAGTGGCACTTTTTAAAATTAGTTATGATGGTTTCTGGAGAAAAGAAAGAATCTCCTCCAAATCCTGAAATTGTGTTGCAACAACTTCAAATTTTCTTAAATGGTGCCACTAGAATAGCTAAAGTTAGGAATACAGAGGTGGCACAGGCTGCAATTGTTCTTTTGAAATCTACCGAAGCTGCCAGAGATGCTGCTTTAGAACATGCTTATAACCTTTTTGATGAATCAGTCAACAACTTTTTGAAACTTGAGATTGAGGAAAGGACAACAGAATCAGGGGATACCATAGTTCATGAATTTCATAAAGTACTCTCAGGCTATGTTGAAACAGAGCCAGAGACATGGGCGCCAGCCATATCCACTTGGTCATTGGACTTACTAGGGTATCTCAGTAGCAAATATGCAGATCGTAGGGGAGTGCTGCACGCCACTCTGCCAGAAGTATTACAGCTATGGATGTCCTGCCCACCCACGAGTACTCTTATTGATTTGACCACTCAGTGTCTTTCCACATTGGTCAACAGCAATCCAGATACCTGTATTGATGCGTTGATCGAGACGTCTGTCCGGCACTCTCCGCATTTTGACTGGGTCGTAGCTCACATTGGTTCCTGTTTCCCCAAAACCGTCATCAGCAGAGTCTTGGCGTGTGGAATGAAAGATTTCATGCATCACGACATTCCAGATGAAGCTACTCAGAAAAGCAAGAATAATCCTAAAATTGCATCCGTCGTCGGCATTCTCGGACATCTGGCCACTCACCACGACAGCGACATGCGTGCCGCGGTCCGTACTTTATTTGATGAGAGTTTTTCTGACAATGCTGTGAGAGATCAATTGGCTGCAGGTCCCTTTCTTTTACACCTCGCCGCAATGTCCGACACCCTGTCTCATGTGATTTCGTCTGAATTCGTAAAAGTTGGTATGTTGTTCCTTTTTTATTGTTGACTTGTCCTAAAATGTATTTAAATTAATTTAATGTTACTTTGAATGAGTATATGTGAGCTATGAAACATTAATTTGATATTTTGCCTTATGGATACACTAGCCTGGCTGGTAGAGTGTTGGGCCCATGTCAAAGAAGGTTTGATCCTCGTGTAGAAAATTGATTAAATTTGTTGGGTTACAAAGTCCCCCTTGTTCCCATAACATATCATTTGGTAGGGCACTGGGCCCATGTCCAAGAGGTTGTGGGTTCGATCCCCACAGACCGAAGACACCCCGTGTGGTGAAATGGTGACTGATGCACGTTAAATCTGTTGAGTCTCCATGTTCCCATAACAAATCATACCTTTGGGGGTACTGATTCAGAAGGTCTTCTGGATTGGTCCAAAATTACAAAGCAGTGTTGTTGAACGTTAGTAGTCGTAAACCCAAAATTGGGTTGGCTGTTATAAAATAAAATAAAATGCATTTGGGAATTGGATTGACTCAGGTCAAAATTACGCATGGACAAATGGTGTCCTCCCTGTAATGTGTTGTCACTGGATCATTCCCTGGGATGCAGCAACGTAAATAAACTTCCTTACCTTATCTCTAAAAGGCATTTAAATGTTTCATTTAATGTATTCTGTGTAGGAACTATGGATTTTGATTAATTGCACTATTGTATTGAGCATTATAAAATATTTTAACTGAAGCCAAACAGTTTGTGGGTTACACATAAATATACTTCAAATTATAAATGGGCTAGTTTATATAATTTCCTGTGATGATGGTTCAAGAATGTTTATCAGGGGTCTGTCTAGGTTTTTTTGAGAGGTACTTTTTCAGATCAAAACTTTTTACTTTTTATGCTTTGCTTTTTGTAAAGTACATATACTTTTACTCGTTACTTTTTAGAAATAACGTTCCCATGTATGCCTATTTGTGACCCTGGACTATTAGAATACAATACTTTTATTCACGCATAGATGGCCACATCATATAGCTGCTTAACACAAAAAAATGTAGTTAAAATATAATCCTCATTAAAATACGGTAAAGTAAGAAAATACTTTTAAAAATTGTCACTACAAATAAAAATCATATATTTATTAATCATATTATGACTTTTAAAAATTTCTATATATTTATCCTTATATATTCAAAAATAATTTTGCTATTGTAAAATTTTGACCTTAAAATTGTATCCAAATTTAAAAATTCATAAAAATCATTGCCCATCCTTAAATTTCAACTTGAATTTAATAAAAACATGCATTTAACAGTACTAGCACTAAATGCTATTTTCATTATGAGAACATTTTTGACTAGGTCCAATAGAAAAAAGTTTCACAAAGTAAAAAATGTTTCATAAAAAATAAAGGTCTGTTAAAATAAATTTACAAAAGATAATATTCGAATGTTTAGAATTATGTTTGAATTTCGTCCTGTGCAGTTTATACAGGGAGAGCCTCGTTGTTTCATTTTTAAAAACTCAGCAAAAAAGAAAGATTGCTTGGATATGGTGTAGACTAGGGGTGCACAACCTTTTTGAGTGAAGGGCCACATGCACAGCAGATTGACTAATGAAGAGCCGCATGCCCAATTATTTCGACAAACATATTGACAGCTATTGTATGTAGTTCTAGGCACTAAATTCTTTCTATCAGTTAACACGTTGAATGCCATGGGGGTCACCGGTGATCGGCACTAAGTTTGTTCGTAGCGCCACGGTGGTCACCGGAAACCGGCGTATTAGAATCACATAATTCGACTAAATTTTTTATTTTTTTTATATTATTATCGTTGTTAAAATGGTTTGAAGAAATTAATGCAATATAACACACANGCCACGGTGGTCACCGGAAACCGGCGTATTAGAATCACATAATTCGACTACATTTTTTATTTTTTTATATTATTATCGTTGCTAAAATGGTTTGAAGAAATTAATGCAATAAAGAACACACAAAAATAGTTTTATTTATATACACAGCGATGCCGACTTGCTCCGGACAGCGAATAAATATTTTCAAGTTTATTAATTGTGATTCTTGGTTTAATAAATTCAATTTAGTAGATTTTTATCCACCACTATTTATAAACAATTCGCAGGCTTGTATAATTCACCATTTTTTTTCAGATATGTCATGTTAAACCTTTTAAAAAAACTAGCAAAATCTGTCTAATATTTGCATGTTTAGATTGTTTGTAGTTATTTACCATTTGGCCATATGGACAAGCCATGTAAAATTAGAGCGGCATTCAACGTGTCAACTTTGTAATTTGTTTGCATAAAATTAAATACTTTTAAATGTTTAACATTAGAATCTGCGAAACTTAGTAAAAAAAAAAAGAAGAAGAAAGAAACAGAATCAGAATCAATTTATCAGAAAAAATTTAGATAAACTGAAATAATTAAAAATTATGTAAAAATTCATTTTTTTGACATATTACATAATACTAAAATCCATTTAAACATGAATTGTAACGTTGAAAAATTTGTGCATAGAATTAAATTTTAAAAAAATAAACGTTCTAGTTATTAAAATAAATGCAAGTTAGATACTTTGATTTGAAAAAAAGTTTATGGGGTTGAAAATTATTAAAATTAAAACAAAACTGCTTCAGTTGAAAATAAGATTAAACATTTAGTAGGGAATATACTTTAAAACATTTTTTTTAAATTAATTATAAGAGGCAGGGGCTGAGAGAGGGAAGGAAACGAAAGAAACAATGAAGGAACTATTTTCCTTTATAACAAAAAAAACTATTAAGATACTTGTTTACAACTCTACGTGACGATTATTTTTGTAACC